GGTGTAAGTTGTAGGTATTGTTTACTGTTTTAGTTATGCATATTTTGTGAACTTTTCATAAATTACATTTTAAAAATACAATACATGAGTAGTTCTTTTTCATTGTAGGATTTCATGCGAATAAATGCATAAAACTTCCGGCAAGTTGTAAGAAGGAAGTACACAAACAGTAGTATGTAAACGGAACACAAACCAGAGACATTTGATTGTCATCTTCATCGTGACATCCATAAGTCTTTCTGACAGTCTTACAATATATTTTGTATGTATTAAAGAATGGCTTCTTACAATTCTCTTCGGCTTATTGTAACGCTTTTGCCGTATAATCCAATATTCTTTGTAGTGTTTTCGATCATAATTATTATTTACGTCGTATTCTCCAACATCGATTTGCTTTACTAATTAGCTGATAACCACTAAGCTTTGTTTCACTTTATGAGCAATTTCATTTGAAGCATTTCAGCTTGTGTAAAAATTTCCGGTTTTCGATAGTAGTTAACTTGTTTTTATGTAAATTACTTGAATCATTTGCAATAATCGCAGTGTCACTAAGGTTTTCTGTTTACATTATTACTTATCAATAAATTATCTCAACATGTATTTTCGCCCAACTTCGTGTTTCTCGTGATAAAACTAGTTTCCGGTTAACATAAGTTCAGTTTATAAATAAATCAACCTATTCATGTAAAGAGAGTTCTAATATGAGGAATTAAAAGCTTTTACATGAAAATTTAGTTTATTATAAAACCTACCATTTGGTAAGTAACACAATTACATTGAGTTATGCCTTCGACACAACAGAAAATTAAATAATAATGCAATAAGTGCTACTTCACAAAAGTCATATCTTATCCTGGATTTAGAACTCAAATTTAAATAGCGTATATAACCATTAGAACCAGCATAAGTTCAAAATAACACCAGTGACATTGCTAATGTATTAGTATATAAGTTTCCATAGGCTTTATATTTTACATTTTGTTTAATAACATTTTTAATTCGTACAATTAATACGCGAAACAATGAAGTCAGGCTATATTCAATTAAAACGTGACATGATATAATGCCCAAGTCCAAGAAAGTAGTGTTTCGTATACGTATAGGTACATATTTACTAAATAACGCTTAAGTTACGTTATTTCGCTGCTACGTTTGTAATCTGTTACGTCTAACAAGATTCTTATGACACCGAGGTTCATCTTTAGTAATAAAATAGAAATTACATAACCATTTTTGAAAATATTTATTTATTCCGGTGATGGTAATCAACATCTTTCGTATGTTCTTGTTCAGTCATTTCACAGAACACGTCAGTTTGTCTAAGAAGTTAAAGAAATTAAAAAGAGTTGTGGTAGAGTTTAATGTTACGGAAGTAAATTTACGACATTTACACACTATAAGTAATTTAATACTTAGAATACGGTTTCATCACTGTCTCAGTCGTTTAATTAATGCCGAAACAGAAAGCATTTACAATTCGCTATATTTGAAAAAGAAATTGTCTACCCATATAGGAACGTAGATTAAATATGCAGTTGGAACCAGATGTTCTCCGTTTTGCATGATATGTGTATCATAAATTAGGAAGATGTCATTTTATCCATCTAAAATTTATGGAAGAGGTGCACATTACAAAGCCTATGTATATAAAACATGAATCTCATTTTTTTATATCAGGAGACCAAGTTGAACTGTCTGTTAATTATTAGATAGTAGATCTACTTCCTAATTCTTTAACTAAACAAAAACAACTATTGATAGTACTAAAATGTTGTAGTTTTAATTAAAGTGGTTCTTACTTAAAGAAATTTGAGCTTTAAACTGGGTGAATAGCTGTTTCAATCATAAGTGCACATTGTATACAATTTCCAGCACTTAAATCTCACTTTTTATAATAAACCCATACAACATATTGTTCACGAGATGATATTTATCGCCAAAGAGACAGCTTTATACAGTTATTACTTGTAATGGATTTATAGATAATTCCATATTCATATGGTTGTATTCTTGTGCATGCACCTGTTCCAGCTCGAGATTATGTGTGAGATATTTTGGCCCACCTAAAAGGAGGATACTTGGCAATAACTATAAATTAAGAATTGCACAACACATTATATATTTTTATTATGTCCAACCTCGGGATTGTTGCCTACTTTACCTAATTTTTTCTAAACATCCGCAGACAATAAGCAGTAGATAATCTTATGTATCTGCCAGACAAGTTTTAAGGAAATGAGCCGAATGTAGTTAAATGGTACAATAAAACCAACTTCAAGCTTGACCCATTGTCTCACAACTCTCATGTTTACCATACGTTCATTATAATTCCCACGTTGATTGACTGAAGAATAAAACCTTTACAGGCAAGTGTCAGTTTACTTCATTTGTGACTTAAGGTAATATCAAGGCAATCCACACAGGATGCATATATGCCATTTAGAGACTGATCAATTGCAGTTTCACGCATCAGTGGAAAGGTTCAAACAACCAATGCAAAAATGAACTGAACGTAATAACATTTGGCAGTGAGATTAGACAAAATTATTCTAAATGATAAGGGATAAAAATCCATTCGCTTGTTATCCTTTTTTAGATATATTAGTTTAAATTTATAAAGTAAAAGCTTTCTAAAATATTTTCACCCGTATTTACGAGTGACCTGTCTACGTAAAATAGTTAATTTTCAAAGAAGCCTTATAAGCTTTGTAATGAAGTACGATAATAGTGATAATTAATTTTCTTCTTATCAAAATCAAGACACAACCAGTTACGTGATGATATTTATGCTATAATGAATATATCCTAGTGGCCTCATGTAACCCTAATACTTATAGGCGCATAGAAGTGAATGGGTTAGGGAATAAAATAAGATAGTCTGAATGCGAATATAAAGCCAATCACATCAAAGTTATCAAAAGTTGTGAATTGTTATTTGAATATATAATGCTTTTAAAAACTGTTCTGATATACCAACCAACTCTTAGTTTTCTTTTAGAAGCGTTTAATTAAACAATAAAGTTTACGTATATGTATCACATTTTCTATCCTGGGCAGTAAAAGTGAATGAACTGAGTTTCACTACACCAGTCAGAAAATTAGCTAAAATAAGTGGTACATTATCGAAAAAAAGTAGACCAAGACTCAATATATAGGAAGATGAGTTCGTGCTTTATAAGAAACTCATTTCATAAACGTCATCCGTAAATGTACAAAATTTCGTCAAAATTTTAGAAGTTATTGCTTCATATTTATGCTGTAATGCTCAGAAAAGACAACATAGTCGTTTATTTAAGCAATAAGTTATGTGAGATAGTGTAAATTTGTAGATAAAATAAAATAGTCGACATTATTTCTTCAAATCTGTGGTAGGGATTGAAATATAATAAATATTGGTTTCAATCGCTTGGTTGCTAGTGATTTGACAAAATGTGGATTTTATATTCTTATTTCTGTTGAGGATCTCTCAAGTCAAAATACCGAAGTGATGAGTTGATATTTATTAAGGCTGTATATTTTTTCCCCGTTCACTTCAAATTACATAGGTATAACAGCATTCACCTACCAGTTATGAAAGAGTAGACACTTAATCTATTCTATAGAAGGAAGTGGACTGGTAAGAGGATAGTTATAAGACAGTATGCTAGCTAGTCATCAGTACATAAGTTTTTCTTTATTCACCACATTCCACGGATAAAGAAAGTTTACTCACTGATCTCGAAGACTTTCATTGTGGAATAACAACTTCAGAGCCCAATTTAATTTCTAGATTCTATGACAGAACAGAATGGATATCTTTCCCGATCGTTTAAGTTTTTGGATTTAGATTTATCAGTCTTGACATTGTTCTTAGAGCATATTTTTCTGAACTTGTGGATAAAAGAACAAATGATAACCGTTTTCTGTCTTAGAATGTTAACAAATTAACCGTTCGTAAAAAATAAAAGCTTTGCCGAAACGGATTTGGATATTCTTATTACAAGCAATCAACCATACATCGTTATCGAAAAGGCCCTACTCATGACAAGTGTTAAACATGTTTTATGTGGGTGACATATATTTTTAGAATTTAAAGATATTCTTATAATATCTTTGATCATAGACAACAAAGATTAAAACTAAAAAGTACCATTTGAAAACTTGATTATTTCCATGAAGAAATTCAAACCAGTTAGTTTGACCAAATGTTGGAACTGGTGAAATTTTATTAACTGAGGACTTCACAAATATCTTTTACTGTTTAACTTTTATATAATTGAGGCTAAATTTCCATAAAACACGTTTTTTAAAGTCTTGACATATATTCACTAAAATCGATGAATGAAAAAGTTGTTTTGTAGTGTCGAAAATAGTTCCTTCATTAAATTGCTATATCTGAATCGGTTTCTTCTTCCTTCAAGTTTGCTTTAGTTATATAACAAGAGACAAGTTTCTGTTACATCCAGTCAAAAACTTCATTCTTTAAAACACATCGTTAAGTAACGCTTCGCTTCAGCAGCCTTATCTATTCAACAAACAAAAAAATTCAAGAGTTTTAATAGATATAAATGATTAGAAATCACTCTTTAGTTATGACTATTATATATGAAACAGTTAGAACACATCAAATTTGTGAGTAGCTAACATTTAGGATATTTAAAACCAACTGATAACCGGTAAGGAAATAGTATTTGAGATTTTTCGAAATATAACCTTGTCAATAAAAAACGTCTACTTTCTGTTCAATCTAAATAAATTCACAGAGCTAAAACAGTGTTTCGTTTTCACACCACTTCTGACATATTTCTTATTATTTAATAACTTTACAGTAATTGGTTCTATTTTATTAACGAATAGTTTTAAAGGGTTAAATGTATAGGGCAGAAATTTTTCAGATCTAATTTGTTTCGGACGATAGTTTTTATTCAAATTGAAATGCGTTCATTTGTAGAAATCTTCTTTTCAGTAAAGTCACTATTTTATTTACTTATTTTTCAATACAAAAACCCCATTATTGAAAAATGAATGTAAATACTACAAACTGTAATGAACTAATAGATGAATTGAAATTTATGTGGATAGAACATGAATTAGGACCACAACGAATGTCGTTAACACGTCAAATTTTAATTGGTATTGTATATACTTCTATTTTTTGTACTGGTCTACTTGGTAATTTAGCTACATGTATCGTAATTGCTCGTAATTCGTTTATGCATACCAGGACAAATTGTTATTTATTTACATTATCTGTCAGTGATTTATTATTATTAATTTTTGGTAAGTTATTATTGACTATTTCTAATTTGTGTTACAACGACTTCTTATATCACTGAAATTAAGAAAAAAATGATCACAGTATTTAGGTATATGATCTATGAATATATTTTATATATTTTGAAGGTGATATTCATCAAAAATAACTGTTCAGAGAAGATCTGTCCAATACCATTTTTGTTGCCCCACCATAGAGCTACTTATCAATAGACGGTTATGGTAATATATGTTTTATAACCTAGTACCCCTCTACTATAAAACTATGGTGATAGGATTCATTTATTTATATCCTAGTTCTCATCATAATTATTCTCACATCCAAAATAATTGGTTTTACATGTCGTAGTTTCAAAAAATCCATCTATAGACTATTCACTTATAATCCAAGAATCGTAAGTGGATGGGTTAGATGAGTTGCCAAATTTTTTGAAAAGACGGCAATGTACATGGAGCAAAATATTGCTTGAGCATTTTTAAACTCTGCAAAAATAAAATTTTGGTTTAGGTGTGTGAGTAAAAATATGTAGACGAAATTATGACGTAACCATAAGAAAGATGAAGCTTTTTGTTTTACATCAGAATAACTGTCAAACATCTGTATGTACACTTTACGGGTTTTTAAGCCGTAGAAGAGAAAAATATTGAAACATAAGATTAAGTAACTACTGCACAAAATCAAATTACAGATATTTGGTAATATGTTTATGCTGAGCAGTTAGATAGTTAGTAACATAACTACACCAACGAAATACTTTTGTTATATTTAATAATAATCGTTGAGATTGAATTATCAATTGTAATAAAAACATAATGGTCCTGTACTTTATACCATAAAATAGGTTTACTTCATGAAATTGTTTGCTTCAACACATGATAATGCGGTGAACTATTTGAGAATGTATAAGGTTTATTAAACTTGGTCATTTAGATTTATATCAAACAGTGTGTGTAATCACTGGTTTGTTTCTCACTTTCATATAAAACGGATTGAATAAATCTCAAAAGAATATTGAAATCAAATGTACAATGAACTTCCAAAAGATAAATACTAAAATCCATTTCATTTAATGCAAACGTTTTCAGTTGGCTGATAAATGTCAAATGGAAATGTCAAAGCATGGGGTAAAGTAATTTACTGATTTGTCAATATGTTTACACCCGATTAATTGAATCATTTAGATAAACTCGGACGATTCAATGATCAACGCAGGGTATAAATATAGTTTAAACTACGCTTTTGTAGTTTTAACACTGATCAATTTGCGCCTTTTAAAAATACTCTCATTTAGTCGCTATCGTACTAGCTGTAACATTCAACATGTATTCAAAACATTTTTAGTTGAGGAAGGATAAAGTTACGTTAGAATTATTACACAATTTTTATTATCATATATATTATGTAATATAGATAACTGATCATTTCTGAACCGATCAAAAATATCTGTATTTGAAGATAATTAGCGCATGATCCTTGTTGTATTATCTTTTCTGAATATTAAAAAGGTAATAAAACATAGAATCATAAAAGTTGCAACAATGTTTTATGTGTTACCATCTCTAAACATAAACATGTATTATCAGAATGTGTTTTGTGGAGATTTTTAGAAATTTTCACAAATTGAAATCATGAGTCAGTTGAAGCTAGACCATCATTGAGAACCTGGAAGCACTGGACGGCCATTTCGTCCTAGTGTGGGACTCCTCAGCAGTGCGCATCCACGACCCCGCACCACTCGGGGCTCAAACCCATGACCTACTGGCTTCGCGCGCGAGCACTTAACCATTAGACCACTGAGCCGGCATCCATTCAGGAGCCACTTCTGGAGTTCTAGTGATAAGTCGTTACCAGTGGAGTTCAACCAGGTCTGTTGTGAGATAGGAACTCACTGAAGACAATGGTGTACGGTAGCCCAACTTCATGGATTGGTTGAAGTTAGACATTAACACCGTTGGATGCCGGCTCAGTGGTTTGGGGGTTGAGTGCTCAGTCGCGAAGCCAGTAGGTCCTGGGTTCGAGTCCCGTTTGGTGCAAGATCGTGGATGCGCACTGCTGAGGAATCCCATACTAGGATGAAACGGCCGTCCAGTACTTCCAGGTTCTCAATGGTGGTCTAGCTTCAACTGACTCATGATTTCAATCTGTGAAAATAAACATGTATATCATGTATATATACATGGCACTGAGATAAACATTATAATAAAAAAACAAATCTCAGACTTGAGCAAAATGTCAAATAAAATAGTAATACATGCAATGGCTAAATCAGATACTAATATTATCAGTTAAAAGCTGTTTACGCAAGGTATCTGGATGATGTAATTTCAAAAGAAACAAATGTTTGAAAAATATTTATTAAGAAAAATGGTATATAAATTACTTTGTGATTGTCAGTCTTTACAAAATACAGTGATATTACCTATCGGTGCTTTAGTATTGGTTTGTAGTTAACCGTTTATTTACGTAGAAATTATATTAATAAATTACTATCAAATGATGAAGTATTCTTATAGTACTAACTTCAATGTTAACAACAAAGTTATTAAGAGCAGTACAAGATGAATAACGATTCGTTTTTCTAATAAACGTATTTATGGAAATCATAGAATGATGCATTTGAAAGATCTTCCTTTATTTTCGAAGTAAATCTGCTCAATACTTAGTCAAATAAAAACTTTAATGCGTTATTTTTTATTTACAGAAGATGCTTTCAATGATTATTATGTACTTAAGTTAATTTCATCAAAATGTTTAAGCTATTTTGTGGAGATCACATTAGTTCCTATCATTTGAATTATACTACGATATGATCGTCAACATTAAAATCACAACAAATTAAACCAATCGGATTATAAGAATAAAGAAAAAAATTATGGTGTCAAGGATCATATACGTATATATTGTCTTTTTTAAACGTTATCTAATGTCTTAGTGAGTTTTACCAATTCTTATAAGAAATCTGATAATATACATTAAAGATTCCACAAACCATGACAACAAACAGCGGATTCCTCACTTTAAGTTGCAATAAAGGTTGATTTTTGCATTATACGTTCTTCAGGACGGATATTCTTTTTGGCTTTTTATATTTTGAAATTAGTGTTCCGTTCGGTATGGTTATTGTAGTTAATAGTTTATAAGGTCAAGTTGGTAAAATACCTGAGGATTTTAGCTATCAAGTTTTAGATTTAACATGTCTAAGGTTCAATATACATTTATCCATATATATTTTCAAAGTAATTTTCTATTTCGTGCGTTTTATGATATAAATTCAGTTAAAAGGTTACTTTGACCGAAATATTTTAAGCAAGTTTCCCAAAATTCATGAATGTGGCTAAGGCTTTTATTTTCCCATTTTTGGGAGAATTTCGCCAAAAGGTAAGCTTCCACTCGAGGACAACTATATTTAAGGCTTTTATTCTTGATATTCCAGAGACTAGTATTTTTGAAACTCAACTACAATTATGATGAAGTAGTTCCATGAAATCTTACAAATAATCAGACGTTCATCGTCTATAAAGGATTTCGTTGCTATCATACCCAAAGAACTTATATATATTATTAACTCTTATTATTAATAAACAAGGTAATTAATTGGTAGTTTTTCCAACGTATTAATTGTTTTGTCGACACTACGGATAAAAATCTACTCTAGCCTAATCATAAACATCCATAAAAGATACTATGGGATTAATATTAACAATCTGATTTAATTTTTAATTCTTGTTGCTTGTTTATATCATCATATACAGAAAAAAGAATTCGTCAAGAGTCAGTATGCACTCATGTTTCTAAATGAATTTTGTGGAAATCTAAAACAAATACTCATTCAGAATAGATAAGTATTCAGCTAGTCGCACACACTACGTTGTAATGACATGTTTGCATTAGTTTAGTCTTTTCAAATATTTGTCTCTTGAATTATTTCATATTCCAGATATCTCAAAAAGTGAATGTTACATACTGAGCTTGATTGTATAACAATGCAGTTAGTGTTAGTTACTTTTAGTTTTGTTTCTCTTGCTATCATAAATTTTCACAAGATCATTAGTCACCAACAGGTACTTTCGTGTATGCGAAATTCTTTTTCTAAGGTTTTTTGATCATAAAAGTGAATGTGTGTATGCATTATTAAGTTAGAAACTACATAAAATTGGGAGGCACTATGAGTTAGTATGTACAATGCCAGTTCTATATTTTTGTAAGAAAAAAAGTGTATGAAAAACAACTTTGAATAAACTATAGAATAGTAGTTTGATCTACTTCTCAAAAGACTGATGCCCATTGAAAAAATCTTATGGAATTATAACGCAACAGATATTTTATTGGAAACGTTTCATTAAAAAAAATGATTTCCATTTATCTTATGTGAAGCAGAACAAATATCATAATGGCGGAATTATGGAAGTAACTCATTGAATATTTGTGACTTCAAGATTAGGTAACACCATATTTGCCAGTATTTAATTAAACTGTGTATAAGGAAAAAAACATCCGTTTAAACAAATGTGTCATCTTAAGTTCGTTTTCATGACGCTAAATTCTAATCATGAAAAAGCATTATTTTTGTGGTACTTAGTGTGCGGAATGCAGGCTATGTCATTTAATTGGACACTGTTTAATTGGGCTTTCTGTTGAAGAAGTTGTATTCTACTGCTGTGTTCCGGTTTTATTTTCAACATAGAAACAAGTTTAATTGTGGATATCTTAATAACTAATACAGATTTAGAATATAGCGAATGCTATTTGATGAAGACGTTTTATTACAAAGATATTTTGAGCTGTATTCTGCTAATACTCATGAATAGTTACCTTAGTTTATATTCAAATCACATTCAACCAATGTACTAAATAAGGTATTAAACAAACGATTCTTCTACAATTGCTATAATTACTATCATTCAATGTAGAAATAAGAAATAGAGACTTTACCTAACATCTAAATGTAAGTTTCAGTTATAAAAGTATTATTCTGTTTTAGTTAACAAAGTGTAATATCTTACGG